TTTCTTGTTGTTAGTCATGAAGTCGTGTCTGACCCATCGCGACCCCATGGACAACACTTCCTGTCCTCCACCATCTCCCGGAGTCCACTTAAGCTCACGCCGACTGCTTCAGTGACTCCATCTAGCCACCTCATCCTCTGCCATCCCGTTCTTTTGCCATCTATTGTGAAAGTGGGCATTTGGGAAATAGTTGTTGCTGAGTACTTTGGGGGGCTTTGCAGGGAAGAGAAAGCTGCAATTCCAAATGTCTTTTTGAGTTAATAATGAAATCCATTTGCCCCAACATTCAAACTACAAACTGCTGGATTGATGGGATGCCCTACACCACTCCATCCAGGATGCTAATCACTGTAATTTTGACTGCCAGACGACCTGTCAGGGGCATCTTTTAGTCAGTGGCTGTCACATCAGTGACAACCACAAAATACTCTTGCTCCTCACTGCCCACCTTGTTAGTGTGCCTTAACAGACGTTCAGGACTACCTGCTATACTGCACCATTGAAAAATGTTTTGACAAACATCAGGCACCTTTCTCTTCTGCACTGCTCCACCCTGAGTTGTCTTTCCCATTCCACCCCCCCCCCCAATATTTCCAGTTCAGACACTCTTCTACGCACCACAGGGTGTGCAGATGCTTTTTGAATGGAAAACCAGAGACCAGATAAGTGGGGGACATGCAGCCCTCATAAATTTCAGATGACAATTCCCATCAGTCCTAGCTTGACCAATGCCGAGGGATGATGAGAATGGCAGTTCCATCTCATCTGAAAGGCCATGTTGGCACAACCATCGGATTAAAACAAATGTATTCCACCCTGCAGCAAGAAATCTGCACCATGGGAAGGACTAAATCAGCACTGCCTTGAAGGAACAAGAAGCTTGGCGCAGGTTCCAGGTTCAATCCCCAGCAACTCCAGAAGGGGCTGGAAAAGTCCCATCTGAAACCCCAACGAGCCACTGCCCATCACTGGAACCCTTTTAGGCTTGTCTCTGTCATCTAAGGTATGATTGTCCTCAACTAACCATAGAATTTTCTCAGTAATGACCCATCTCTGTGAAACTCCTTGCCATCCAAGGTCCAGCAAGGTCAAAGGCTTGTGAACATGATCCGTGCAAGTGGGCAAGTACTTGATCTTCACAGTAGAGTCCATTGGGTACAATGTTGAATTTTTAAGAAGAAAGTCCAACAGCATGCATTAGAACTTACACCCAACAATAGGATTGTACTGTTAGTTTTAGGACAGTCTGGTTTATACTGAATTTCTTCTGCTACAGCAGGCATTGGTTTATTGGCTAAATGTTAATCTTTATAGTGTGTGCGGCAGGGGTAATCATATTCTACTCTGAAGTGTTTTTGTTGGCAAGTCATTATATATTAAAAAAAATAAAGTTGGCTTAAATTAAGCAGTGCCTTCGATGTTGTCTTTGGACACTGATGCATCTCTACCATTTTCATTCATGAGGACAATGTTTAATACTTGCATTCACAAACAGAAAAATGGGATGCTCTCATTTGCTGGTAGGCACTGCTGAGAGTGTTACCAACTGTCTCTTGTAAACGGACACATCCCTTAATGATTTGTACACATTGCAAACTACGAAAATCACTCATGAAGATGTTCACACTGCAATCATGGAGCATCATGGCATTTTAGCAAGTGTGCATGACTGTACATGCACCCGATAATGTCATTTAGCCTAAGCATAGGAACAAATGGGGCAACTCAGTCTGTGTGCAATTCCTGGATCATCTGGCTCATGCTTATACTACTTATGTCTCACTTCTAGGACCACTTAAAATTATTAAAGCATTATCAGTTATTGAAATACCCACCATATAGTCCATGCTGACTGGGCATAATGGGAATTACGGCCCAACACATTTGGTTATACAGGAACCCATAACCTCAGTTCAACCAGAGTTAGGCAGAGTTGCTTATGAAGGATGTCCATTGGTTGATACTGGATGCTCAGGCATAGAACATATGCTTAGCAAGAAGAAAGGCTAAAGTACAATCTTGGCATCTCTAGGTACAGGCGTCCCAGGTAGGAAGGATGGGAAAGCCCCTTGCTTAAAACCTTAGTCAGCTGCTGCCTGTCAGAGTACAATATCAAAATAATACTGAACTAGAAAGACCAATTATTTGGTGGCGTATAGGACAGCTTTATACATCAATAAAAGTGTTGGGTTAGTCACTATTACTCTGTACCAGATTCCCATTTGCCAAATTAAAAAAAAAAATGCTAGGCTATATGCAGTAAGAAAATGTTACCATTAGCCTTGACCTGAGCCTGAAGGATAGGTGGATTATAAATAGACAAAATTATGTCATGAATACATATACAAATGCTTCTCTAATATACTTCAACAATAAAACTCAGAAAACCTCAAATACTGCCTTGTTAAACCTGATGGCACACTATGCTAACATAACTAGATCTGGTGTATGGGATTTTTTCTTTCTTTCTTTTCAGAGATGATCTGAGCTTTCTACATCAAATATGTCACATCCAAAAGAACAGCTAAAATCTCCCAGGAGGAGGGCATTTGAATATTTTAAGGAAGGGATCAAAAATACATTTCAGAAAAGATAGATTAGAGATGTTGTAAGTGCGTTCTTCATACTCCTGGGGGCAAGATTGTTTCTCGTAACATTTCTCTCTCTATGTGTGTGTGTGTGCGCGTACACACACACACACACACACACACACACACACACACACACACACACACATATATATATATATATATATACACACACATGCATGCATGCATATATTAAGGAAGAACAGTTAATGGGAATTGGTTCTCACAGCCAAAATTCTTGGTAGAAGAAAGCCCAAGAACCAATAACACTAGCACTTAACTCAGCAGGATGAGAACCAATATTCCAAAGAGAGAAGCCTGCATCCCTTCCTTAGGAAGATCAGTGCAAAATGGCACTACAATCACAGCAGAGGTACCTTTCCTCTCTCATCAGAATGTATGGATATTTACTACATTGGCTGTGAAGCAGCAGGATTTTTATTTATTAGTTTTATACTTATAAAGCACTCAAAGCAGCTTTTACCATTCTTTTCCTCTTGCTGTCATTTTAGCCCCACAACAACAACCCTGTGAGGTGGGTCTGTGACTGGACCATAGTTACTCAGCTGGCTGAGCAGGGACTAGAACCCAGGTCACCCGAGTCCCAGACCTGCACTTTCGTCAGCTACACCGCACTGGCTCTCAGAATAAGATGCATTCATCAGCAAGAGGCACGTGAGAAAAGAGCAGCAGCAGGGCTGCGCATGTGTATTCAGGAGTAAGCACTACTATGAGACTTACTCCCAGGTAATTGTATTCTTAATTGTCTAATATCAAATATTGCCTCTAGGGATGGGATTCAAATGAAACAAGTCTAAGACAAAAGCACTCTTGAAGCACTCTTAATACAAACATCAAATACTGATGTGGTAACAGACATTGAATTCTGCCATTAGGACGATTTAATTAAGTTACATGTTGTTGATAATTAACTACTGAAATCATATCCCCAGAGACGTTTCCAAAAACTCTGCATTTCATTTGTACTATTTTTAAAAATCCATTCTACAATTATAGCTACTGCAATGTCATCTCTCCTTTCACTGCTTGTGAGCAAATGGTAACACTTTATTTAATTTTATTAAAAGAGTATCCTTTTAAAAACAGCATCAAGTTTATCTGTTGCTTTCTTCAGTGAAGTGTATCAGCTCGCTTGCAGTCCAATCTTACAGCCCAACTTGTTCACTAAGTAGTATTTGCCGTTGGATTCAATGGGGCTTACTCCCAGGTAAGTACAGGACTGTAGTTGCTTTTTTTCAGCAGTAAGTGTCTTATTAAATACTCACTAGCACAGTGGCCTGTCTGTCACCTGTTTCTCTCACCTAGAATTAATTATTTGACTAAGAAACATGATTATTACAGCTTTCATGTGTAGTGGTCACTTATCAGCATGCTTCTCATAGAAAGACATTCCTTTTCCCTTGAGTAAGTATATGTCTTGTCCCAAGGCATGGTATCTAGGTAGGCCATTACCGAATTCTTTCTCCTAGGAAGGTCCATGAATTCATTAATAAGCACAGCATAGAAGGAAAACAAATAGGTTCATGTAAATATCAGACCTTAAAGCAGCCCTTGTAAGAAATTATTTCATTAAAAAAAACTTGAGAACAACGAGCTAACTCAGACACACCCTTTGCAAATAGCTGAGTTGTATATCTGAGCAAATCCATTTGAATTTTCCAAATCTTGGTTCCTTCAAAAAATAGGTGCTAAAAGTCTCTTATCTTTAATTAAATATGATTACATGATTCCATCAGCTGTCCAAAATGCAATAGATCTCTCAAAAATTCACTTTAGTAAGGATACTAGGATCCCCCATCAGTAATAACAGTATATTTTACTGCACTGTATACATTTTTATCTGGGGAAAAACATTCAGACTTGGTGTACACTTCATACTTAAAAACTGTAACTGGTGGTGCCACTACTTCCTTTTTACCCTTCTCTCATCTTATGCCAGAAACTGTTTACATGGAACTGTGCTCATATAACTGCAAGATTGCATGTTATGGATGTACAGTAATCTCCAAACCTCAAGACAGATATAAATATTACTTTAATGGCAAAAGGTTGTAAGGCTGATCAATGGTTATTGTGGTAGCACTCAAAAACAGTTTCAGTTAGACTTTCTTTTTCAGCCCAGCAGTATTTACAGAAAGATCTTTCTGACTATGTGACTGCTTGCCACAAAGTCTGCCTCTGCATGTACAGCGGCTGTTAACGGCACTTGTTAAATGTCATTTCTAACTTTCACAAGGGATGGTAAAATTGTAAAAATACATCTGTGTTTCCCCTGCTGTTTTCGTGAAAAACCTAAACCATTGCTTGCACAAAATATATCTACAGCATTTTCTAGATGAGTATAATCAATATGTGCAAATCCCAAACAAGTAAGCCATTCTAAAATGAGAATTTCTTATTGATTTCTTTATTAAGATCACATTTAAACCTTTATACAAAAGTCCATTTTGCTTTACTGAGTATTCTTCAATCTCAGCCTCCCATGAGCACCCTACACACACACACACACACACACACCTACCTCAGCAGCTATGCAAATCCTTCATTTATCACAACAAATAAGTATGTAAAGATGTTGATACATACTGAACAATGTGCCTTTAGCTTTTGGAAAGAAAAGAGGCCTCACAAATACTTACTGAAGTGAGTGTGTGTATGTGTGCCTGCTTGAAGTAATGATAGTCCAGGAATGCAAAAACATGAATGTGTGTGATCCTCAACAATCTCTGGAGGACCAACCTTGTCTTCCTAATTGTCCTTAAGAATGGAGCACACTTTGCACCATCTCTGTCTCTCAGATGCAATTGTCTGAAAAGCTGTCAATTGCTCTCTCAATCAATTCCTTTCTGCACAAGGCATACTGCCCATTCACAATCTTGGCTTCCTGAGCAAGGTTTTGCTAAGGTCCTTGACTTCCTCTGGGCTGTTGACTCTCTCATAACCTAGAATAGTCATGGGCTGGTGGCAATACTCCTCAACTTGTTTAATCTGCTGAAAGCTCAGTGCTGTCCTCCAGGCATTGACTGCCTGAGTAGCATTCCTGGCAGAGACCACAAAGGGCTTGGAGGAGTAGCCAGGCCCACTGGTCATGTTGAGGGCAAACTTCTCCATCTCTGGGCTAACCACTAGGTTGACAAATCCATACACTTGCCGTAAAGTCTTGATGGGGTCCACTACAAGGTCCTCATAGCGGATGGCTATGTAATTCCCCTTCAGCCAGTCAGGGGGATGCAACGCCGTCTGCAGGGTCCTTGCCATGCTACCACAGATCACCTCCATGGCCCCCAAGGCATGGTAATCTGAGCCACCGCCCCCCTCCTTCTTGCTGTTCAGCTTGTGGCCTGCATCCAGGAAGGGCATGCGATGGATACGGGGGTCCCTGCTCCTCACTACCTGCAAGCTCTCCCGGATGAGTCCGTGGCGGGATTTGATCCTGGAGCTAGCCACCGCTCGGGGGTCCCGGACCAGGTGGATGACTTTGAGAGCCAAGGATGGGTCTTGCATGAGTGGTGCCAGCACACCGATGTCAAAGACGCGCACACCCTTGATGACCAAGGTGTGGTACTTGAGGCACTCCTCCTGCAACAGGCTGAGCTGCTGCGGAGGGCATTTCTTGCACACCTTGTCATCCACCATGCCCACAATGTCTTTGCGATAGGCTGGGCAAAGTGGTGAGGAGCAGATCACCTTGTTCGTGGCTGCCCCAAAGATGCCTAAAGTGGTGAGATTCTTCCCGGCTCCAGCCGTACTATAGAGCTGGAAAACAGAGAGGTCACATCGGTAGAGAGAACTCAGCATGTCCCGGGCTGCACCCTGCAGAGAGACAGCGTCCCCCGGGTACAGCTTTTGCCACACGTGCCACACGGGCTCATACAGAAAGAAGACCTCTGGGTTCTGGTTGAAGAGCTCACCGAAGAAGGAGGACCCTGAGCGCCAGGTGGTGAAAACATAGACCAGCTGCCGCCTGCGGTTGAGCGGTGCTGGGGCCCCGTAGAGAGCCCGGATGTCCGACCGGGACTGGGAGGCATAGTAAGGCAGCTGCTGCGGGTGGGAAGTGCGGCGGGCGGGCGAGGGCTCGCTGCACTGCTGCGGTCCCTTGTGCCACTTGTAGTCCAGCAAGTTGAGCATGGTGAGGAGCAGCAGCAGCACGTAGCCGAGGCAAAGGACCAGCGCCTTCCTGCGGAAAACCTTCATGCCAGCGAGCTGGAGCCAGGGCATGAGCACTGCCCTGCCAACTGTTGCACATCACACAGCCACGCTCTGGCGCGCTGATCCGCGGGGCCGGGGCCAGCAAGCGCCGCGGGGCTTTGCCCAGGGCATCTTCCCCTCCCTCCAGGGGCACCGGCCTACTCTCGCTGCTGCCCTGGGCACCTCGGGCCGCCGCCGCCGCCGCACCGCCCTCCCAGGCTCAGAGGAACTTGCCTTGCTTCCTCCCTTCCATCACAGCTCCGGCGGATTCCCCGGAGAGGTCGTCTCTGTCGCTCTCTCTTCGCTCCAGAGCCGGCAATGCCCGGTCGGCGGGGGCGGGGAAGAGGGGCTCCTTTGCACCAAGTTAATGCATCATCCCGCAGGAAGGGGCGGGGGAGAGGGGCAAGCTGCTCCCTCAGTCCCTCGGCGCCGAGCCCGAGGAGTTTCCGTTCTGCAGCCGAAGCGCCAGGCGGGGACCGGGGGAAGAGTCGGGAGGGGAGCAGGCAAACTTTAAGAGGAGGTGGCTGCTGTCGCTGCCGAGCCCCCGACCTCCGAGAAAGTGCATTGCGCCTTTTGGGGACGGCGGGAGGAGGAGGCGGCAGCTCCTCTCCTGCGCGCCGGCTTCGCTCGGATTCCCCCGCACCGGCGAGGGCTCCCGGAGGGACGGAGGAGCAGGCCGGATACGAGGACCCGCTAAGCCAAGGCGAAAGGCTCGCCGGAGAGCCCTGCCGCCTGCCCGCCGCCCGCGGCTCTCAAGCGCCCGCCAGGCGCCAGATCCGGCAGCGGTGGAGGACGACGAGCAGCAGCCGGCCTCCCTGCACCAGCGGCAGCGGGCGCAGGCTCCGCAGTGCTCAAGCGCCGCCGCCGCTCCATCGCCGGCCCATACAGTCTTTGGAAGCCCGCCACTTCTCACCCGGCGGGATGCAGAGGCGGCGGAGGCGCGGGAGGCACAACGCGCGGCTGCTCCGGAGCCGAGAAGCACAACAAGCACCGGCGGCAGCGGCTCCCGCCCGGCTCGCTTCCGCCTCTGCTGAATGGCCGTGGAGCTGCAGCCTCCAAGGCGACCGCCCCCGAAACGGTCCTCGGGCTTCCTCATTGGACGCCGCGCCTGCCGCTCCGATGACTCGCCCCTCCCTCCCCCCGTTCTTCGGGAAGAAAGAGCAGGTCTGTGCTGCCGTCCAGGCGGGCGCCGCTGCTGCCCGCCTCGCCACGGGGCCGTCCTGCTGGTGTGTCGCCATCTGCCCGAAGCCGCGCTGGACTCGCCTCGCCTCGCCTCGCCGCCTTGCCCACCGCCAGCACGAACCGCCTGCCCCTGGAGATGCATCGCGGGGACGGTTTTCCCAGCCTCGCCAGCCAGCTGAGCTTTCGGGATCAGGGGGAAAACCTCCCGGTCGCCTAAAAGGCATCGTCTCTCTCCTCCTTTCCAGTAAATTATGCATCGCAACCCAAGCCAGGATGCGCTGGTTCGACAGAAAGCGGGAAGCATTTGCCAGAGTTTGGGGAACTTCGAGCTCTCGGCTTTACTCATATACCAACGCTGCAAGATACCGAAAACTATATCAGAAACAATTTAATTCAATCCCAACTTATTCTAGCAACCCGAACGTATAATGCTAAATTATAATGATAATGCATCAATTATAATTTTAATTGGATAGCTTTAATAAGGCTAGATAGAACTAATAAAATAATTTTAATTATATCAATTTTTGAGAGAACAGTGTAAGATCACATAAGAAGACAGACAAAATGTGTGGCAAGACAAAGGAGCCCTTAAGTGCAAATCAGGCATAATGTGATTTGGCACCCCAAATTATAGAACATTCTACCTTTGGACATTTGCCAGGTGCCTACCTTATTGCGTTTCGGGCGCCTGGCAAAAACTTACCTTTTCCAGTGCACTTTTGGCACCATCTAGAATATTTACATAACTGTACGGTTTTAATTATAGTAACATGCCTTATTTTTAATTATTTTATTGTGACTTTGTTTATTATGAGAGTTTAATTGTATTATTTTATTAATTATATTTGTCAATTTTATAGTGCATCCAGACAGCATGTTGCTAACAGGTGGCTATTAAACATACGTGTGTGTGCGCGCGCACACACACACACTGGTTAATTAAGTCTCCCACCATTAAAAAAAACTATAACTTTCGGCCTGTGATTCTACACCCACTACCTGGGAGTATGGCCCATTGAGCACAACTGGATTACTCCTGAGTAGATAGATATATCACTGTGCTGTAAAGCAGCCAAATTTGCTAAGACCAGTGCCACTAGTGGAGGATATGTTGTTGCTTTCATTGTTTTTATGAATGTTGCAATTCACAAAAACAATAATGACATCCCACCATGCAAGGATGAGTTTCTGGGGGAATGCTGTAGTTCTCTCTATTATTATTATTATTATTATTATTATTATTATTATTATTATTATTACATTTCTATGCCGCCCCTTGCCGAAACCTCAATAAACTGGGCAGGTTCACACATTACTCTAAGCTACGCTGTGAGTAAATCACCATGGGTGGTTTGTTTGCTGAACAACCCGCAGTACTTGGGCTTGCTATGGCTTGTTTCTCCTCTCCCTGGCTCTGGTTCAGATCCCGGGTGAGGAGGATTTGCAGCAGAATCCATTGCCTCAAACCCTGCATCAGCATCCCTTCCGCAATAAGGTCTGCGGGCATTGCTGTGCTTGCTACTGAAGGAAACGTCCTCGCCAAAACACACACTCCCCACGGTGGATGACAAACCGGAATCCAATCTCTGAGCACTTAGGAAGGCAGGAGTCTGGTCATGCTGGTTGATGCTTCAGGGAATGTCACTGTGGTAAACGGGCAGGGGCTGCACAAACATAAAGGCATGAGAGACCCCAGCTTTTTGAAAATTGCAAGCATATTCAGGACATTCTCTTGTGTCCTTCCTTCGTGGTTTTTAGGGGCACTGGCAAAGCAACTGCAAAGGGGCGGGGGAGGATGGTCACAGCATGAGCAAGCGCATGAGGAAGGGCTGCTGCTGCTGCGGCTGCTCTGGCTGAGGTCTGCCTGAACATCCCTGACAGCCCACAATAAAGTCTCCCTTCTGGGTTCAATGACACAAGCCACCGTGGGTATCAACAGCCCTAAAACAAGCCATGGGTTATTCGTGAAAAATAAACTACCTGCAGAACAGCACTGGGTTCTTATGACAGGGCAACCCACTGAGGCTGATGGTACATGGTGGCTTGTCATGTTATGTGAACCAGCTTAGTGATAGCAGGCACCCATAGCTTAATTCTGGTATGATATTTGCACTGCCTGCCTGTATATTTCCAAGCTCAAGTCAAGGTGCTTGTTCTGAACACTCTCTGTAGTGAGGCCCACATGGTATCAACATTTCATTCCTTTGGTGCCAGATTTAGACTTAGCTCTGCTCCCAAGCATTTGAAGTCCACCTGTTAGGACTTTAACTGGTCCTGAGATTTCTTGCATTGGCAGTTTTGATTGTTTTGGTATGTAAATGGTTTTTACATTTATAAAAATATATTTTTATATTTTATATTGATAAACTGCTCAGAGAGCTTTGGCAATTGACAGATGATATAGAGATGATGAGGATGATGATGGTGATGACGGCGATGACAACTAGTCTGTAGTAAACTACTAGTGAAGCAAACAGATTATATAGCTTAAGGATGCAAAAGGATCAAGTAGTAGATGGCATGAAGGTCTGAAGAAACCAAGTAAGAAATGAGATGTGCAAAAGATAAAGTAAGATAATACAGACAAACTGTAGGAACAGCCGGGCAGGGTACAGTCTCCTGTGTAATGAACTTTACCCAACTTTATTTCAGGCAGAGTCATTTGGCTTTGCTGGACCCACTCTCCTAGGCTGATAGTTTTTGCGAGTTGCTTACTTCTCTACTGGCATGTTTCCAGATTCATGTATTTGCCTATATGAACTATTTCCAGGTTCAGTTCCAATCTTCATCACCACCCAGAAAGCTCTGGCTATTGCAGGGTATAAAAATGTAATTAATCATGATGATCCATCAAGTTTAGTCAAACATAAAAATATCTGTCATTCCCTTTCAGCCAAGAGATCTTTCCACAATGACCCATACATAGATGGAGCTGAAATATCTTTTTTTATTCTGTTTGCATAGTTGATAAATGGTTTTGTGTCTCAATTTTTTTTTTGCTTCATTCTGATCTTATGCCTCCAGTTGGCTTTGTTAATTTTTCAGAAGAGTTTTTCTTTATTGAACTAAGGCAATTGTCTCATCTCTTTTTCCATTCTATAGCCCTAGACTAAATTAACTCTTATTCCTTTCACTGGATTTACTTTATGTAGGGCTTATGTTGGATTTTACCCACAACTAAGAAAGAGAGCTAAGAAAACAGAGCTAAATCCTCTGCTTGAGGGGATGCCCCAGGGTCGCCTCCTCTCTGAAGGGCTCTCCTGGCCAGTTATGGCTTAAGATGAAGAATCCTAAGAACTGTCATCAGCAGTTGGCATCTGGACAGCAGACTGGACAGACAGGAAGATCAGCTGGTCAGATTCTTCCATACCCTGGTGAACTGTTCTGGATTTCTATTTAAATTATAAGAATTACTTCTGAAGTTGCATCCCTAAATGTAAATTTGTTTATGCAATTTTTTTGTGATTCTTAAGTATCCACTGTAAGAAACACAGAACTCAAATAATCTGGGAAGAGATCCAGCTGAGGAGAACTTTGAAAGCATCTCTATTTACTCATCAGAAGCAATCTTCCCTTGCAGTACACAGATGCAGTGTGCATGGGATGTTTTCCAGGGTGCGTTTGGTTTGGCTGGCGGGATGGCAAGGCCCGACAGGCCTGGCTTGCCTCCTGCATATCCGGCCAAACCCCAGAAATCTGTGCAGCATCTTATACAAGGTTTCCACGACAGGCATGCAGGCCTTCTTCACCATGCAAACTGATGTAGCACGGGCGGTTGCCTGACCACAGAACGTTTGCAAACTACTTTGGAGCAATTTCTC